CAAGGAAGCGCTTGTTCCACTGGGCCATCTCCCTCAGCCCACCAGGGGGCGGGGCTGGCTGGCATGTGGTGCTGGGGGATTGAACCGTGGTCCCTTGTACTTTGCCAAGCTTGTTCTAGGTAGGTGCTTCAGACCACTGAGCCATCTCGCCAGCCCAAGTTACTTATTTTTAAAAAAATATTTATTTATGTATTGGCTCAGGGTCTTGCTATGTACCTCAGGCTCGTAGCAATCCTCCTGTCTCAGCCTCCCCAGCATTGGGATTACAGGCCTGTGCCACTACGCCTGATCTCAGTGGCTGGCACGGGGTCGGGCCCCTATGGCATGTGGTGCCAGGGATTGAACCCAGGTCTTTGCATTTGCCAGGCAGGTGCTTAGGCCACCAAGCTGTCTCCCCAGCCCAGAACTTCAAGTTAGAAACATGTTTTAAAATGGAAAATAGATGGAGATTATTTATGATATAGCAATCTTTCTTTGAAAAATCTTTGTATATAGAAGGCAGCATTGCTGGAGCACATGAAAAAATTGCTGAGTGCAAAAAGCAAATTCTTCAAGCAAAACGCATACGAAAAAATCGCCAAGGTAAGGTTTTGAGGGATTTAGTGCACAAACACTTTATTAGTAACTGTCATTTTCTTTTTTTTTTTTTGGCGGAACCGAGGATTGAACTCAGGCCTTTGTGCTTGCCAGGGAAGTGCTTACTCCACTGAGCCACCTCCCCAGCTCCAGTAACTCTCATTTTCACGAAGTTTTTGATATGAGGTAGAATCTGCAGCCAGGATTAACATAATTTACCAAAAGAATTAGAATTTAATTCTTTTTTTTTCTCGGAACTGGGGATTGAACTCAGGCCCTTGCACTTGCCAGGGAAGTGCTTATTCCACTGAGCCATCTCCCCGGCCCTTAGAATTTAATTCTAAAGCCATCTGTTCTTTAAAATACAAGACAAGGAAAGTGATGCTAAAAAAAAATGGCTTTATTGAAATGTGTTTATTATTTAAGTTTGTGGTTTTTTTTTTTTTTTTTTGGTGCAGGGATTGAATTTAGAACCTTGTGCTTGCAAGGCAGGCGCTTATGCCACTGAGCCATGTCCCCAGTCCCTGAGTATTTCTCAGTGTTAATTTTTTTCTGTCTTTGGACTTTCTTGCCTAAATAACATTATGGTTAATCACCAAAGTTGATTTATAAAATATATGAGATTTAGGAGTTTGCTTAGAAACAAACAAGTGGAACTACTATAATTTTTTTTTTTTAATTCAGTGGATTTTTAAGACAAGCAGACATTTACAAGCTGCCTAAATATCTAATAAGAATTAAAATTTAATTTTGTTCTAATCTCTTTTGTTTTAAAATTAGGATGACCTTACATAGCTAAAACACTTTCAAAATAGTTTTTAATGACAAGAGTATAATTCATCCTATAATGTAAATTTAAAATTTAAAAATACAATGTCTAATGACAAATATTATACAGAAAACTATGGAAGGCAATAGAAATTGGTTATTTAGGGGGGCTGTGGATTTTTATGTCTTTTTCATTTTTGTTTTATTTTATGCTGAGCATGTTACTATTTTATAATGCAAAAGATTTTATTAAGAAATCATGCTTACTTAATATGCCGAGTTCCAGAACAATGAATTTCAATTTCTTTCTCTCTTTTTTTTTTCTTTTTGAGACAGGGTCTTGCTATGCAGTTCAGGCTGACCTTGAGCTCACTTTGTAGCCCAAGCTGGTCTTTTTTTTTTTTTAATTTTATTTATTTATTCATTGTGTGTGTGTGTGTGGCCAGCTCAGCCCACCAGGGGGCGGGGCTGGCTGGCATGTGGTGCTGGGGGATTGAACCGCGGTCCCTGTGCTTTGCCAAGCTTGTTCCAAGTAGGTGCTTTAGACCACTGAGCCATCTCACCAGCCCAAGGATGATTTTTTTTTTCTCCTTGAATGCCTTCAGGGCACTTTTGGCTGGCTGGAGTGTTGTGGGGATCGAACTACAGCAACCTGAGGCTGCCAGCATTGTGGAAGCAGCCACTTAAAGAACGGAGCTAGGGCCAGGCCCCCCCAAGCTGGTCTTGAACTCACAACAATCCTCCTCCTGCCTCAGCCTCCTAAATTCTGGGATTACAGGTATAAGCCAGCATACCTGACTGAATTTCAATTTTCAGTGAGCGAGCTAATTAAGATGAAAGTGTGTTTCCTCTTTTATTTTGTATATGGATTTAGTTTTTGTTGATGGTACTAGGGGTTAAATCACAGGTCTCACAAATGCTAAGCAAGAGCTCTGCTACTTAGCTACATCTCTAATCTGACGCCTTTTTCCTTTTCAAAAGTTTGGTTTTGTATTCAGAGTTTTTATAATGAAGTTTCAGTGGAGAATTTATAGCAAGAGCTACTGGTTTATATAATAATTAGAAATTACTTAGAAATATTTTGCAGTGTTTTTATTTGTTAGGAGATTTTTTTTTTTTTTAAACACTGAAAATCAAACTTGGGACCTTGTGCTTAGCCAAGCAGGTATTTACGCCACTGAACTATATCCCCGGCCTTGTTAGGAGATTTTAAAGTAAGTCCTAGCATTTGTCATTTCATAAGAAAGGTTATCAGGATAAATGTGACTTAATTTTGGAGGACTTAGTAGAGTAAAAATAATGACCTTAATTTTAAATCATTTCAAGGTTTTAAAACATTTTACCTTTAGAATTAGTGAGAAGTGCTGTTGCCTACGATCTGGGAGTAGCAGTGGGATGTGTTTTCCACATTCTATCTTGGTGATCCAGATTTGAAAAAAAGCTGAATTTGATCTTTGTTTTGTTTCTGTCTTTCAGAATATGATGCTTTGGCAAAGGTAATCCAGCATCATCCAGACAGGCACGAGACCCTAAAGTAAGTTAGAGCCTCTTGCTGTACAGACCCAGCTGCTTAGTTACTGTTCCTGTGGCTGAGACTAGATAACCACCAGTCAGCGTCAGAGGAGGGACAGCTTACTCAGCTCAGTCTGGAGAGGTTTCAGTCCGTACTCAGCTGGCCCCAAGGCAGGGTGCTGTGGCAGACAAGCACGACTGAGGAGAAACAGTTCATGGCAGGCAGAGGCAGCAGAAGCAGCAAGCTGCAAGCGACAGCCAACCCACAGCCCTGTTTCTGCACTTTATACAGACTGTGTGCCAGGTGCTCACACCCAGGGAGGGCCTTCCCATCACCACCCAGAGCCAGGCCTGGCCAGTCAGCAGGCTGACTTGGTAACCACATACCCTCACTCCCAGCATCGCGGACTCCATCCATCCACCTCTGAGAAGTCTGTGACCACATGAGGCTCGTGGGACATCTGGACACATGACACTAGCCTTTACACATAGATGCTCAACTGCTAGTTGACTCCTGTGGGGTGGGTGGGAAGGGCTCCAGGGGCCCTGCAGGCTGGATGTGCGCAGGGTGAGGCCCCTGGGGGGAGAAGGACGGCCCGAGGCCCCCAAGGGAGCTGTGCGGCGCACGCCCAAGGAGACCTGTCCTGGGCTGCACAGGTTGGGCAGCAGATCAGCAGCACACAGTGAAGGCCCCTGTGGGGCTGCAGGATGGGTGTGGTCCAGGGGCCCTGCCTGGCATGAAGGTGGACCACACCCTTTTGCCCTCCACCAGCATGCAGGCATAGGCTGAGCCTGGGGCTTTGTCTGCTCTTGGCTCTGGTACCTCCTGGGAGAGGGTTGCTTTCTGCTGTCTGTCTCTGGTTTGGACCCACGTGCAGACCCTTACAGGGTGCCTGGCTAGGCCAATCCCTGATGGGGGCACCCACAGTGGCTGGCTGGGTGCTCAGGGCCAGTCACCTTGACTCTCAGCAGGTGGTGCAAGGGAAGCTCCAGGTCCCCAGGTGGAGGTGGCCTGCAGAGGGTCCCAAGGGGCAGCCCCAGGACCACTAGCCCCTGATGCAGAGGGAGGTAGCAGGAGCCCCGTGTGGAGGGTACCAGCCTTGAGCACCCCAGGGAGCTGCTCAGGGAAGCACTCAAGGCTGCAGCCAGCAAGCGGGGTGTGACAAGGGTGGCTTCCAGGGAGGCAGTTCCCAGAGTCCATGCATGCAGCAGAAGGCAAGTCTCACAGGGCTCTGGAGCACGGCTGGCTGCCGGGTGCATGCAGGTTCATGGGGCTGCAGGCACAGGTGAGCCTCTGTTTGGGGGGCCACTCTGGCCAGTGCTGTACCCCTGAAGTGAAGGACACACAAGAACAGCCCTGTGTGGGCACCCAGGGCTGCTCCCCATAGGCTATGGGAAGCTCTGCCTCCCTCCAGGGCTTCCTGCTGCTGCTCAGGAACACCCTCTGTTGGGAAGGGCCTGTGGTCTGACCTCAGAGGTAGTGTCCGAGGATCCGCCTGCAGAGGGTCTTGGCCGAGGGTGCCTGCAGCCTGTCATCACTGCACGAGGGAGCAGAGCGCTTTGGGACACTTCTTTCTCCCTTTTTCCCTCCTCCCCCTTTTCCTTTCCTCCTCTTCTTTCTTTTCCTTTGTTTCTTTTTGCTTCTCCTTCTCGTTCTTCTTTCTGTTTCTTTCCTTCCCTTCCATTTTCCTCTCTGCTTCCATACTTGGGGTTGACCCAGGGCCTTCCCCTGGAAATACAACCTCCCTGTCCTGGCGTGTTGTATTGTGACCACACAGGACCTGGCCTGGGTCATGCAGTTGCCTGGGTGGCTGCCGTTTGCCACCCTCCTGCCTTAGTCTCTGGAGGAGCTGGGACTAGAAGCAAGCTCCACTTACCTGGCTGATGTGCTTCTTCAGCTGTAAGATACACTCTTGTAAAGCACAGATCAGTGAAAAGTCTCTTAATGGGGTCTTACTTACTGTAAGTTCCCAAAACACCTATAGAATAGTAACTGTTTATAAGAGTGAGAAACCAAGGCCAGCCAGATAGCTCAGCAGACTAAAGCGCCTGCTTAGGCAGAGCACAGGGGCCAGGCTTCCATCCCTGGCACTACCCCTGGTGTGTGCTGAGTTGGCGATTGAGACTGGGCATAAAGAATAAGAGGGAGAAACCTCACCCCAACTATTGCATATCTACACTTCGTATTAACCGGATGCACGTAGTTTAAGCATGTGCACTTTGAAAAACTTGGAATGGTACCATGGTTCCCTACATGAGAGTAGAGGAGAAGAAAAGCTGGGGAAAGAGGACTGAGGGTAAAATTCAAAGGATCTTTCTTTCTTTCTTTCTTTCTTTCTTTCTTTCTTTCTTTCTTTCTTTCTTGTCTTTCTGTCTCTCTCTTTCTCTCTGTCTCTGTCTCTGTCTCTCTCTTTTGTTTCTTAATATATTTAGTATAGGGTCTGACTACACTGATCAGACTTGTAGTGATTCTCCTGTTTTCAGCCTCCTAAGGGCTGGGATTACAGCCATGTGCGACCACACCCAGCCTCAATCGTAGGCTCAGACCGAACACAGTCTCTGTGCTCTGCCTAAGCAGGCGCTTTAGTCTGCTGAGGTGTCTGGCCTTCCCGACATTTCATTTTTTGCGTATGCTTGCGTTTGAAACAGGGTCATTATGTAGTGAAGGCTGGTCTTGAACTCCATTATGGAGTCTAGACTGGGACTTGCGTGCTCCTGCTGCTTCAGCTGCCCCCATGCTGGGAGGGCTGACCTGGGCCAGTGTAGATGAACTGTTGGGCTCAGGGGACAGTTCCAGGTAATCAACAGTGTGATTATTTCTTTTACTGAAAGAAATATTTGAAATTAGTGTGACCAAATATATCACTTCTTCGGTTTGGGTATGCTACGATCTGTGTTTTTCTATATGTTATTTTTTTTTTTTTTAAACCTAAAACTATATTTTTAGGGCCAGGGGATAGCTCAGTGGTATATATCCTTGCCTGGCAAGCAGAGGTCCTGAATTCGATCCCCAGTACTCCCCCAAAAAACAACCCAAAAATCTATATTTGTAATGAAAACAGTCCATATTTAGGAGTTAAATCTTTAGCTTTTAAGTGTCACTATAATGAAGTGTTATAATTGTGAACCTTATTTATTTTAAAAATGCTAGTCATTTAAAAATTTGATATTAAATGTAAATTCTGCTCATTCAGTAGCAAAATGTAACACTAGCCTCCTTTTTTTTCTTTTAGGGAACTAGAGGCTTTGGGGAAAGAATTAGAGCACCTTTCACATATTAAAGAAAGCGTAGAAGATAAGGTATGTGCCCCCCTGTGGCAGCCTTTCTTGTGTGTGTCGTACACACCCAGGTGCATGAACTCTTCTTCTCCTTCTCACAGCTGGAACTGCGGCGGAAGCAGTTTCATGTTCTTCTCAGCACCATCCACGAACTCCAGCAAACCCTGGAAAGTAAGTGCTGCGGTCCCGGAGAGCGGATGCTGGGGAAGATGTCAGACGCTTAGGAGCTCGCCTTCTGAGGCGGCATCCGAGACCAGGGCACGGCCCGCGTGGCCGCGCACAGGCGCAGTGGCATGAGGGGCCGCCTACCTGCTCAGCTTTCTGGGCAGGTGCCAAGGACTCCAAGTTTTTAGTACTGTGTGATTTGAGTACGGATCTGGTAATCTTAAGGAAAGCTCGAGGGTTATGGAGGTGGAACTGTTCTTGGATCCCTGTGGTTTATTACAGTAAACAGTGATTCAGGACCCAGGCAGCGACATGAGTCCTAAGTGCCCGGTGCGTTATGCATTTGCACCCCCAGGGGACGGTGGTTCCTGGCAGAACGGGGCTGGGTCCTCAGGTTGAGTGGAGCCAGTGCACAGTTCTGTCACTTTTCGCACTTGTAAGAAAGGCTCAGACCTTATTATTATTTTTTTTTTATTTAGTGAAATCTATTATACAAATTTTAAAGATTGATTCACCTGAGCCGGGACGTGGTTCAGTGGTGTAAGTGCCTGCCTG